TGTTACGAAAATAATTCCTTTCTTTGTTAAAAAATTTAAGGTAAAAATAAATTATAACACATTTAACTGAAAGAATAAAATCTAAAGAATAGCTGATGCTATGTAATATCACAGATAAAATAACATATAAGAGAAAGGTTAAAAATACTAGCAATCAAGAAATGCAGACATGGAATCAAGGAAACTATAAAGGACAAATCACTAAGGGAAATAAAGATAGCTGGCTAGGACGAATGAATGAAGGAATTTCCTCAAGAGATTTTTGACAAATAATAACGAGGAAAAAAATATGTCATAAAGCAATCATTCAAGCTAAGCAGATTAATTTTCTTCTTCAAGAAAATAGCACTGTAACATTAAAGCTAATGTATTAGAACACTATGAAGACATTTAAAAATATTACATTATAAAATATGTAGAACTTTCATTATCTGATAACATAAGAAACATAAATTTCCTAAAGGGGCATTTTAAATCTTGTGGAACCACTGAATAAGATAAGTCAACATGAGTGGGCACTCTCAAGTGTCTAATTCTAACAAGAAAATAGGGCTTCTGCAATGGGAACGAGACCAAGAACTGGAAGGAGGGGAAGGAGAAGAGGGGCAGTAGGCGGAAAAGAAAGAATGAAGATGTATTATGTTCATGTACCAACTCCCCACATCAAAGGTAATCATTACGCACTGTAAACATGTGCTAATAAAGAGAAAACGATACTGTATATTACAATCAGCAGCCAACCTAGGACAAGAGCTAGAGAGGACAATATTTTTATTTCTGAGTTTGTGTCAATGAGCCAACAGAATAAACAGGGATGCTTAAATGACACATACTCACCTGTTTTTTTGGTACCGGAGGTCGAACTCGGGAACTTGTACTTTGCAAGGCAGGAGGCAGCACCACTGAGCTAAATCCCCACCCTACATATTTACCTATTAACTTCGCCCTTTTAACTTTACTTTTTTTTTTTTTTTGGTATCGAACATCGGGCCCTTGTGCTTGCAAGGCAGGCGGCGAAACCACGGAGCTAAATCCCCGGCCCAACTACAACTTTCTGTAAATAATCTCTAGAAGTAACAAAGGAGATGTCAAATGTTCATCCTTTTCTTTGAGTATTAGGTGATGAACCACACTGGAGGGGAAGAAAGGACTTTAACAGCCCCCGCCAACAAAACAGACTGTCACAGTTGTGATTTGCGCAGGCTATTTAAAGAGGAAGTGCCTCTTTAAGGAGGGAAACAGACTGCCTGGGTTTGTCTCCCAACTTCACCACTCACTGGCTTTAGAGCAAGAGAAACAGTGTTGTGCCTTAGTTTCCCATCCTTCCTATAGCGCAGGTATAATAACAGCACAAATGTCATGGAATATACAGGGAGTTAAGAGAGTTAAAATATGTAAGTCATTTGGCATTTCCTTTTCCTTTGAGTTCCTAATATTCTTTATCGGGCCTTCACCAAAGGATTAGAAAAAAGATACAAAGAGGGGGGCAGGGAGCGAGACAAGGGGTGAAGTGAGGAGGAAAAATGTAGAAGGAAGCAGAGAAGGAAGGATAGAGGAAGGGAAGGAAGAGAGGAAAGGAGTAAGGAAGATGCAGAAAGGAGGGAGGGAGGGATACAGGAAGGAGGGCAGCAGGAGGAAGGAGTAAATTAGGGCTCATCTATCTCACTTCCTTGTCAGTCAAGGGTGGCAAAGACCTGATGGATTTTAACGTCAACAGATGAGACTTGAGGATTTCTCCAAGTCTTCATGTGAACTCCTTCACTTCCATGAATAATTTAGAATGGGCTGCCTAACTCTTGGAAATAAAAATATTTGAAGTTTTTTTTAAAAAAGGAACTAACAGATGGATAGAGCTATTTTGAATAAACACAAGGGGAAAAAATTCAAAAGCTACTATACTTATACAACAAATAAAAAATTCATATCAGAGAGAAGTCAAATGCAAAGGAAGACTATTATGCTTACAATGGATTTAAAACATAATTAGCACCCTTAAATGCATACTCAGTTAAATATAAAAATAACATTCAGAAAACTTAAGCAGTTATGCTAAAGCATTCACAAGAGAAAGAAAAGTAAGGAAAGAAACTGAAACAATTTTAATTATTTATTTTAAAAAGTACAGTTAGAGTATTTTCAAACATACAGAGAAAATTAGAGAGCCAAAGTCAAATATTTATTTGGTCAGAGAATAAGAACACAAAATGGAAAGAAATAATACTATTCATTTTTTTTAAGATTCTAAAAAGCACTTACTTTTAAAGAGAGAAACTGTAAACCTACACTTTAAATATTCACTTAACTTTTACTAAAAGATGTATCTTTTGTACTTTTCAAAGCGAAAAGATTTAGTAAATGGTTCAAGAAAAAGGGCCCATCACCAATGTATTTGTAGCTACTTCAATAAGTGGAAAATCAACTGAGCTACATACAAAGACCATGGAAACTAGACAGGGCCCTGCATAAAGGATGGAAGGCAAAGCTACTGCCTTGGACAAGTTTTGGTGTGCAGCCCTTTATACAACACTGCAAACAATTATGATACTGATTTGAAACCACTCAAAGGAAAGGAATATATAACTCAATGAATTTATAAGGCACAGATTTTGCTATGCTAATATAATAGGTATTTTTGAGATAACAGAGTGGCTGAAGGAGGTGGGCACACAATTATATACACTTTAATAATGCTTTCGACCCTGTGCTATATATATCAGTATGCTGAGAGTTAGAGAAGAATTGTACAAATGATGTGACTGAGTAAATTACTAGTGGCTTAAAGAATGAAAATACAGGATTACTACTGGTTCAGATGCAGTATAGTACACACACAAAAATACAATGATGCATCTTGAATTTCAATTTGCAGCTGGACTAATTATGTGAAATAATATGAAGGTAGGTCATACATTGCTGACTTCCAGAGAAAGATTAATTTGATAGCATTCAAGAACTTAGACAATCCACCATAAAATATTTTAGGGTGTTAACAATGATAACAAATAATTAAGTGAATAATTTTTCTATAAAAAATAAGCAAAAGACCTCTCATGAATGAAAAACATACATTTTTTTCATCTTTTGCGATTAGTATCATGTAGGTTACTTAACAGAATTTTTCTTCCACATTTGTGCAAATAATTTTATTTTTTGATGCACTGAAAATTCAGTGGATTCAGATAAAGATAAATCCTTTGTTTCACTTTGCATGGTTGCAATGCATGAGAACAACTGCTTAAATGGTGAGGTCCTGGTCTTAGAGAAGGGACAGAACAAAGTTGGCTTCTACTTTCAACTAGATTATTTAGAATTTATTGTAAGTTCAAGATAAGCCACTTAAGCATATATTTAAGGCTGAAGAGAAACCAGCTACTCAGTTAATCATTCATTCATGTAATAATTCAAGAAATCCAAGTCTGAAGACATTATGAATACTAGTTCATATTATGTTTTTTCAGAATAAGACACTTAGCAATTTAAAAATACGTGATTATTATCAGTGTCATTCTTCAATTAATTAGGAATCTAAGACCTGAATTAATAGGATTAGGCTAGTAACTTCTGCAACATATTTGCATGGTTGTTAATAATTCCTACTCTTGTGATTTTTAGTACCACAAAGTTTCATAAGGGTCACTATGTTATTATTTAGTTATATTGATCAGAATGTGACACAACATAGCAGGTCATAAATTTCTTTAGAATGTTTTGTATCTGTAATCATCTATTTGTACCGAGGCCACATCATATGTATAGTTGAAATATGATAGATTGCTTCCACCAACAGTGCCAAAATGTACATTTTATAAGGTCAAAAAAGAATATTACTGAAGATTCTTATTGCTAGAATTTGTTTTCTCAGTATATCATGAATTTAGTTGATCCTGGATGAATCATAAAGTCAGGATTGATCATAAAGTCAGGATTTCTTGGAGTCAAATAAGATACATACATATATACATATATATATATACATATATATATATATACACACACATACACACACATATATACATATACATATACATACATACATATGCATATATTCATTCACTTTTAGAGTGAACGTATTTATTTGTATGGTTCTACCCCTAAAGCTACAGGTTTTACTTTTCTTCTCCCCCTTGGACTGGCTTTAGAGACTTGGGTTTGATGGGTTGCTGCTTCTAGCATTCTACACTATCATGCCTAAACATTTAAATTCTACTGGGTATCAGCTTCTAGTTAAGAGGCTGAGCTGTCTAGTGAAAGGTTTGTATATGTTAAGGTAAAAACTTCAACTTTCAGATTAAGATGGCACCCAAAGCCAAAAATTTTGCACACATTATCAGTTTTTCACTCCTCAAAACCTCATGAGAATAAATAATTGCTCTGCTAAAGTGGTATGATTGCCAGTTCAAGTAGATCATCACCTTAACTCGCTGAGAAACATATGCCTGGATCTTGCACTTTAATCTATAACAGTATATATAAAGCCTCTGTGAAGAAAAAAATGCAGAATTTTCACTTACATAAATCACATATAACAAACTAGAGGAAATAAAAAATCTGTTAGAGGAGTTTAAAATGTCTAAGATTTGTTTGCATAATATTCAGGGGTGACCTAGCAGTTTTTAAAAAGAATAGTTAATCCACAAACATTAAGGAACAAATTTCTTAATATGAATTACAACTATTAATGACATTTCAGTTTTTACTGTTCTCAGTTAAAAGCTTTTTTAAAATGGTTTTGTTGGCAAGAGGACTTTACCACTGCTAAAATATTTTTAAATGTATGAATAAATTCAATCAATTTCTACGACTAATTTTGACAATTTGTTAGCAGTCAAGACAAAAGTCAGAAGGAAACAAACCAATATCAGCTCTATTATTCTTCCCAATTTCTTTTCTAGGATGCTTATAAACTAATCTTCTGCTAAGATATATTATTATACAAGGGATACAGTATCACAACTTAGGTTGATGAAACGACATGAGGTATCCGCTAAGTCATCAGATTATATTCTATGGGCTGTCTAAAGAATAGAGAGAATCATGCCGAACCGTGATTGCACAGGGGTGAAGTGGAGGAAATGTGAACCTAATTCTTTACCTTCCTCTTTTCTTCTCTTTGCTTCTTCCTCATTTCTTTCTTTGGCTTTCAATGCTTCATCAGCTTTTGCTGTAAAAAGAAAATAAAAATGATAGGAAAACGAAATAGAAACTCATTACTTATTTATGCAAAACAATTGTAAGAAGAAGCATGGCAGCTGAAACCTTGAAATATATATTTATATTCTTTATTCAGGATAAATATTTTGAATAATTATTTTGAATCTTTGAAGCTTAATTCAAGATAATCTCTACAAAAAAGCAAATGAATTAAAGCAATGTAAGTTTACAAGATGACATATAAATTAGGGGAAAATAGTTGATCATTAAAAGCAATGTGATGTGTCAGGAAATGCATCTGTTTTAAACATCACAGGAAAAATCTGAAGCTGAAATTCACATTTCGAATATAAGAAGCTCACAGTATCTATGCAACAGTATCAAATTAGGTAGCATATTGTTTTTCTCACTGCACATCATACCAGTCATTCTCTGTTCATGTTATGACGGCATTTGGTAAAAAGAACCTTTTTCCCTCTAGAAATCTCTTCCCTTATTACTTAATTATCTACTAGTTGCTCAACTGCTGGGGTTTCAAACACTTTACTACAGATGTTAAAGAAGATTAAAAATATACAGCACAGTAACAAGAGACTATCAATATACTCTGTAAATTAATTAAATTTCTGTTCTAGCACATCATTTATTCCAAAGCATTAATGTCTCAAAGGAACGATTCTCTTTTATTGCTGTCTCACTGCTTGATGAGTGAACTAAGTGAAAATAAGTCTCTAACAGCATTATAGTTGATGAAATATTAAGTTTAAAAAGTATTGCCTCATCAAAAGAAAAAGAATCAAACTGCGCCAGCATTAAAAGTGTGGGTAAACCTTTATCATAATGATAATGGCAATGTAAACTGTGATTTAAAAAATAAACACATTTACTTTTCAGTTTTTTGCTACCTAGTTTTCCTATTCAAAATCAATGTATCAACACATCCTTTCGAAGTATAAAACTAGCTTCTAAGAAGAATGTAAAAATACATGTCTCACGCTAAACTATTTTTCTTCAAAATTTGATTTTTCTTTTATCAATACTGACACTCTTCTTGATGTATAAAATTTATTAACTGCGTTATTAAGTGCTATATCCAATTACACAGACATCTGTTTCCATTAACAAGCTTTTATACATACTTAGGATACATTTAAAGTCATGAAATATTAAAACTTTTATGCCATTTTGTATCATTGCAAGAATATATTAAATAAGATAATAAAAACAAACCATCAGTAACTCTAAAGACTTTTACTTCATTTACACTTTATTCTCTGTGGTAGAAGGACAAGGATAATAGAAATTCCATTTAAATTCAATTTTGGTTATATGTGTAATTGTAGATATACCCCTTGAGTCATGTAAAATGCTCGGGTTATGTTTCTTTCAAATTATCCCGCTCAGATTCACATTCTACTCCTTACAACCATCTTCAATATGTATTAGCAGAGCTCATTAGACTGAAATTTAATAATGCAAACATCAGGTGGATTTCAAGAACCTCCATTAACAACATAAGATGGATTGCTTATATATAGCTCTTGGGCCAACTGGGCACAATTTAAATTCAATAAACTAGCCTGCTTAAATCTGATTTATCTATTTCACTATGCTGGTTTGTCCTTTCTTACTGATTTGTTGCAATACATGGACGATTCATTGGAATATTGTTTTATATGATTTTTTGAAACTGCAAGTGGCTTTGATGCTGTGGTTAAATGTTTTATGTAATTTAGCTTCATACTGTTAAGATTCTCAAGTGTATGTGTGTATGTCTGTGTGAATAAATAAAAATTTTTTGAATTATGTTGAAATAACATGAATAGTAATCTTAGAAGCATATGTTTGAAAATTTTATAAATATGTCCTCCACAAAGAATCTGAAAAAATTAATTTGAAGAGAACATTTATTCAAATTGAACCATTATGATAAACTCCTTATTGATTGTTAAGGGAATTTGGAAGACATTCTTTCTTTCTGTTATCATGATTTAAATGTGAATAGAGGCATAATTTAGTTTACCCTAAAAAGTTTTTTGTATTGTTTATTTTTATTCTATTTTTTTGGTACTGGAGATTGAACTCGGGACCTTAAACCTGCAAGGCAGGCAGCGGCATGACTGAGCTAAATCCCCAACCCTGTATTGTTTAAAAATTAGCAATTGTGTTTTGCAGATGAAGATATTGAAACTTATTAGATGTAACAAAATTTTACAGCATAAAGTGTAACTAATATATAGTAAGAATGGCTCATGATGATTCACCATTCTCTTTGGACTTTATGATAGGATCCATTAAAAAACATATTATTTGTTAAATTACTTATATTTTCTACTACCCTTGTACACAACTGCTAATCCCTTGGTTCTTCCATATTCTCCCAGGGAAACAATCCCTTCCAAGTTTTGCCTGCTGCACTATTCAACCTGGATGGTATGGCCTGCATATCTCCACCAAAACTCATGGTGAAATTTAATTCCCATTGTTAAGTTTAAAGAGCTGGGAATTCTAGGAGATAATTAAGTCATGAGGATGCCCTCATAATTGAGTTAATCTATGCATGGCTTAATGGGTTATCTGTTGAGTAGGTTTCTATAAAAGCCAGTTTAGCTGTTTTTTTATGTACCCCCTTTGAGGAGCATTCTCACTAGCAAGAAGGCCCCAACTAGATGTATCCCCTCAACCTTGTACCTCATGAACCCCAGTCAGGATTTACATAAACTTTTACGCATTACACGGAGTTTGATGCATTTATAGCAATATATATAGCAATAAGATACTGGACCCCAAAACAATCATTTCAATACCATTGTTATAAAAATCACCCTTACTTCCTTATTACTTTGTTGTTTTGCCAACCTACTAACAACACATTTGATCTTTATTTTTCTTTCTATTTTTGTTGCGGAGGCTCCCTACAAAACAACGTATAAATGCTACTGGCTCTATCAAAAGCCAAAAATTTAAAAATTAACATGGACCCTTTCGCGTTGCATCTTTGTAGTCAGCATCCATAGTTGATGTTCAGTCTCATTTCCTACAGCATACTGTAGTTTCACAGATTCAAATGCCAATAATCTCACACCAGTTCCCTGAATCCCTTATATTCCCTCGGTCTCACTACAATTCACTTTCAAACTTTTATGTTTATTAATTCTTACTTTTTTGTGCATTGTTTCATAAAGTAAACCCATTTATGCTTTTAAACCTGCTCATTTCCCTGTCCATCAGGATTCTTTTTTTTCCTCATTGAGTTTATTGGTAGGATTCTTTCGCTTAAGGTTCAGATGCTCTCTTCTCTGTCCGCAGACTGTATACATACACATTCAAGCCTCACAAATGCTTTGCAATACTTACTCTTTTTTTTTTTTTTTTTTTTT